ATATATATTAGCTGTTGAATCCTCTTGATTTTCTTTGTGTGTCAATTTTTATTTTATTTTTTGGATTTCCTTGATGAAAAACCTGCTACTGCCGCTGCTTAAGTTAGGTGGATTCAACAGTTCATGTACATAATATTTTTCCAAAATTTAACCTACTTGCATAATGTGATTTTCGGACGAAAGGAATTTAACTGTATGTCCTTCCTTACTTTTAGCCCCTCCATTTACTATGGAGGCTAAAACTAGGTGGGATAAGGTGTGAGATTAAATTTATACGTTTAACCAAATATGCTATACATTTAATTCCAGTCTTAATACATGATATCCCACCTTATCCCATCAAACTTGGGATTATACTATCCCACCTCCTATGGGTTAAATTAGTCCAGAGATTATAATCTCAAGACTATAATCCCAGAATATTAGTCCGCGTACCAAACGACCTCTAACAATTACGAAGAACACGACACTAATAACGTAATCTTAAAGTACTAAAATACGATAATGAAGTGACAAATGAAAGTTGTAAAGATCTTATTGATGATCAACGGTAATATTTTAAATAAGTTGAGACCTCTGAATAAGGGGAGATGGATCTGATCCATTTCATCACACTCCTCGATGATAATTGAAAATATTATTTCAAATCATTTTTGCAACATAATATTGAAAGAATATATTGGTAGTTACAACTTACCAGCATAATTTTTTCAACCCAAGCTCTTTTGTCATTATTTTCAAAGCCCATAACAGTAGCATGGGGAACATAGAAGTATTTGTAGAGCAAGTAGAGATGATAGCCAAACATAATAATTAGGCCATTTGGGACCAAGAACAAATCAAGGTACTCTTTTTGGAAAGCCATTAATTTTCTTCTCTTCTCTAGGAAAAAGAATTGTGAAGAAAAATATATAGTTGGGTGGTTTCAATCATAATATTGTTGTGCAAAATTGTTGCTTGAAAGGAATTAATGAGCATCTTTTGTTTGTATATTTAAGCAATCTATAACTTTACGTAGATGTGTTGAAAAACCAACTAGCAAATGTCAAATTCAAGAATCAAACTCATGGATCTAGCTGGACTTATGATCAATTCATAAATGTTATACTGAAATAGAAAGCAATTTGATAAGAAACTTAGTGTCAAGTATTTTCATTAGTAACATATCTAAAATAGTCAAGTCAATATTTTTATTTGGGGTTGCTGAAAAATAGCACCATTACTATATCACTTCTTGATAAAAATGTCTTATAATTATTATATGGATTATTTTTAATTTTTGAATTTGGAAGAAAGAATGAATTTTTTAAATTGGAGGCTAGAGCCGGATCAGGCAAAACATGAAAAGCATCTTTAGGTCAGGGGCGTAGCTAAAATTTTAACTTTATAGGTTCTGGATTTTTAAAAGAACAGCTTCAAGTACTAATAGCCGATTTCTAAATGTAATATTTGTTTATATTTAATGAATTACTTAGCACAAATACACTATTTGAACAAAAACTACTATGTTCGGCCGAGCCCGTAATCAAACTTCTAGCTCCGACCCTGCTTTAGCTTTAGGTTACATATTCAAATGGGACAATGGTACAGATCCACTATAATACACTGCATCGTTGGTGTCGCTCAAAATAATAACCCAATCCAAACTATATTCACTTTTAAAAAGTAAATTGAGTTCAGCATTAATTCTTACGAGCATCTTTCATCAAATTATGGATCTGAAATCAAGTCAAGTCAAGTCAATATTTTTAATTGGGGCTCCCACTTTCACCACGTATATTTTATTTACAAAAGAATTGACTTGACTTGATCACATAAGTCATTTTTATATATAAGTTTTTATTTACCTCATTCTATATAATTAATAGAAAACTCATAGCTGACATCACATATTTATAGGGAGAAGTTCAAAAATAGCCAGACTTACGAGTGATCATTCAAAAATAGCCACAATATGAAAAGTTATCGAAATTTAGCCACTTTTCATGGAAAGATAAATCTGAACGGAAACGGTGTTCAAAATCCGGAAAATACTCCAGCATAATATATTGGATTTCAAGCATAATATACTGGAGTTCCAACATAAGTATAGTGGAAGTCCAGCATATTATAATAGAGTTCCAGCATAAGTATACTGGAACTCCACCATAATATACTAGAGTTCCAGTATAATATACCGGTCCAGCATAATATATTCGCAGTTCATACACAGGTGCTCCAATCTCTAGTATATATGCTGGAACTTTCCGCGTGTTGGAGTTCCAGCATAATATGTTAGAAGTTCATACACAGGTGCACCGATCTCCAGTATATTATGCTGGACTGGTCCCTATTACAGCAAAATAGTAGCTATTTTTTAATAACTTTGCAAACGCTGGCTATTTTTGAATGACCAAACCGAAAACTGGCTAGCCCGTGCTATTTTTACTGTTTTTACGTGGAAAGTTTATATTCAAAATTTAACTTATTTTTCTGGTCTGTGAGCAAACCCAAACTAAAGAATCTAATTGAGTATATGTTTCTTTTATGGAAAAATTACCACCCGCTAAACTTATCACGGATTATTAGTCATAGTCTTAAACTATTCGTGGTCTTAACTACTCCCATCAACTAGGCCTTTTGAGAGCCATTACCCCCCTGGACGATGATGTGGCAAATTGTGTAGGTACACTCGCCTGCCACATGGATTTTTCTGTATATGTGGTATTTTTTTGAAAAATAAAATATATTTTTACCTTTTTAAGTATGTTACATTTTTAGATAATTTTTTTCGAATACAAATTATAATAAAACTTGGATAATTTTTCTAAATGCTTTGGTTTGAAGTTGAGCCTTGTGAAGAGTAACGTGATTTGAATTGTGTAATTTCTGTACTTGCTGAGTAAATGACATTGATACGGTGGGATTAGGTTGCGCGGCGCAACAGGTGTAATAAGGGTGGATTGTGGTGAGATAAGGGTGAACTGTGATTGTGATTATTGTGATATGTTGGGATTGGGTTGCACGCCGCAACAGGTGTAATAAGGGTGGATTATGGGGAGATAAGGGTGAACTGTGATTGTGGTTATTATGATATGCTGGGATCAGGTTGCACGCCGCAACAATTTTTATGCTTATATTTTCCCTTGACTGTGTTAGCTGGACGGTAGTCTTAAACTGTACTTAAAGATTGGTTATAGTTGAGCACTGATGATATGTTTCAAGAACTATATTCATTCCTTGCAAGTTATTGCTTTATTTTATCATGTCCTTCTTTCTACTTTTATTATACACTATATGCAGGTTATATTGTAAATGCCCCGCCATAGCCTCGTCACTACCTCGTCGAGGTTAGGCTCGGCACTTACCGGTACATGGGGTTGGTTGTACTGATACTGCACTTTTCACTTCCTGTGCAGATTTTGGAGCAGGTTCGTGCTTATCGAGAGGTTGACTGTAGGATTCACTTGCTTGGAGACCCAAGGTAGTCCTGTTGGCATCCGCAGGTCCTGGTATCCCCTTCTATACCCCAAACTTTATTGTTTTCCTTATTTCGTAAATATTTGTATTCATTTTTCCTTCGGACAAATGCTTGTAGTATAATCTTAGAAGGTTCGTGGATTGTGACACCGAATTTTGGGCAGTAATAGTAATATAATATAAACAAAGAGGCTATTTACTTACTTTCGCATTTATTTCGACTCGTTTAGCTTGTTTATTGTTAATTAACGTTAAGGAAATTGGCAAAAACTCTAAGGTTGGCTTGCCTAGCAAGTGTGATGTTAGGCGCCATCACGATCCGGACGGTGGGAATTCCGGGTCGTGACATGTGCACGGGGTCCGGGAAAGGGCTGGACCGCATGGGTCTATCGTACGCAGCCTTACCCTGCATTTCTGCAGTAAGTATTTTTTAGAGCAATAAGTATGTTACAAATAATAAGTTATTTCTTGCAATTGTTCACTCTTTTGATTTCTTCTTTTGATGCAATGACTATTTATTTCATCTGTGTATTTTTACTTTTTCAGGTAAAATATGTAAAAAGTATATTTTTAGAGCACCATAATTTTGAGCTATATAAAAAATTATCGCCAAAATAATTAATTTTAAACTATGTATTTTTAAAACTTTTTAGATGCCTTGACTATTTATTTCAATTGTATAAATCTTATTTTCAGGTTAAATTCAAAAAAAGATTAACTAAACTTAATTATTTTTAGCCAAATAAAAAGATTTAGCCTAAATAATGTAGTTCTATCTAAGTTTCATTATAAATTGTATTCGAAAAAAATTATCTAAAAAAGTAACATACTTAAAAAGGTAAAAATATATTTTATTTTTCAAAAAAAATGCCACATATACAGAAAATTTCACGTGGCAGGCGAGTGCACCCACACAATTTGCCACATCAGCGTCGAGGGAGGTAATGACTCTCAAAAAGCCTAATTGAGGGGGGTAATTAAGACCACGAATAGATTAAGGTTGTAACTAATAATCCGTGACAAGTTTAAGGGGTGATAAGGTATTTTGCCTTCTTTATTCTTACTGTACTTTGGTAATCATATTAAAATACAAAATACTATGATCCAATTCATCTTTAAATTTCNTCCGATCTATATAGTAAAATTGTCTCCTTCTAACTAATTCTTTAATGTAATGTTCATTATGAGGAAATATGTAAGAGGTAGGAAGAGATTTTAAATCATAAACCAATTATTATTTAAAAAGAGAGATCAGCCCGAGTTAGACTTAAACATAGAACAATTAAAGAAATAATAAGGAAAGCATAAAAAAGGAAATAACTATTATACAAGCTAGTGTCTTTGTTTATTACCATAAATATTAATTAGGAGTCTATAAATTATGGCCTTTTAGAAGTAATGACTTGCTCACATATTACACTTTTAAGATGAGTCGTCTCATTTCTAGCATGGTGTTCTCATGCTTCATGTTCGTTGTTCTTCTCGTGGCATCCACTAGTAAGATGTGTTAATATGTGTTACACCAGCTTTCTTTCTATATTTTAATTCTAAATTTATCTGTGTTAATATGCATGATATAAGATTAATTTCATATCTATGCATCGATATATAGGTAGATAAACTTATTGTTTGAATGTGTGCATCTCATCTTATACCAACCATAATATAATTTTGACAATGTTATTGAATTTCAGCGAACGCTGGACGGGATATAGATCCTAATATCTCAGGACTCAAGAACCGACTATTGCCACAACTTAATACTTGTGGAAGAACATGTTCCACCGACGAGGATTGCAGTGATTGCTGGTGGTGTTGTAGCTGTGGAAACAATCTTTTTTATTTTCCTGAAAAACAATGTTTTCATTAGGCTACATGCAATTGGGACATTATTGTTCAATTGCAACGGATTAGACAAATCCATGTAATGCATGCATTCGTTTTTTCGGTTGCTTTTAGTGTTTTCCTTTATCTGTTCTATGTTTATTTGTCTTTTATGTTTTGTACGAATAATGAAGAAATTCAACTGAATGATTTTCTATAATTTTAGCACTTGTATAATTCATCATAATTTGTCAGAGATTTATTTATTAATATATAGTGTAAGTGATGTATATTGGTAATGCTTTATCATTCACCCTTTTTTCCTTTCTAAGAGTTGTAGCTCCCTTTTAAACAGAGAATAATTATATATTCATGAAGATGAGAAGCTTACACCAAAAAGTTTATATATATATATAAACACATTACAGGCGTGCTGTGGAATTGTGTGAACTGCCTCATGTTAATTTGCTGTATTTGCAAAGTAATTTTGGAGATAAAATAACGTAAAAGCATAAATGTAGAAGAAACAGAATTTAATTCGAGCCCATTGAATTCACAGTGTTTCCTTAAGGAACTTAATCCCCTCCTAGTACCCGAGGTGTAAAGATCTGACCGGCCGTTTTGGGCATTTGCACTTTGCTCGGTAGTTCGAGGGAATGAGTAGCTCCATATGATGTATTATGACTTGTGTGTATCATCGGATTTGATTTTCGGGTGATTAAGAATTAGTTTGGAAGGATGAATTTCAAGTTTGAAGCTTTAAGTTGGAAGAGTTAACCAAGTTTGACTTTTGAGTATTTGATCTCGGATAAAAGTTTTGATGGTTCCGTTAGGTCCGGAGTGATTTTGGACTTGGGCGCATGGCCGGATTCACAATTGGATGTTTCTAGAAGGTTTCTGCACTATTTGACGAAAGTTAGCAATTTGAATTGCTTGGAATGTTTATAAGTTTGACCGAGAGTTGATTATGTCATTTGGGACTTGTGCGCAAAATTTGAGTTCATTCTGAGTTGAATTGATATGGTTCGGCACGAGTTTTGGAAGTTGAAAGATTTAAAGTTCATTATGATTGATCTGAGGTGCAATTTATCGTTTCAATGTTGTTATGCGTGATTTGAGGCCTCGAGTAGGTCCGTAATATGTTTTGAGACATGTTGGTATGTTTGGACAGGGTCCCGAGGGGTTTGGGTGAGTTTCAGGGTGGTTTCAGACCATTTCTAGGCTATTTTGAGTTGCTGGTTTTTGGTTACAGCAGTGTGCATCGCGGTCGCGAACTTTGGCTCGCATTCGCGATTAGTAAAATGTAAAAAAAGCACCTGTGAATCGCTGTCATGACCCGAATTTTCCCACCGTCGCGACCATGATGGCGCCTAACATTGAACCCGTTAGGCAAGCAAACGTGACTGATTTGTTTACCCTTTTACTTTATCTTTTAGTAATTTACAAGTTAACATAACATAAGCAGCGGAATAAAATGCGGAAGAATGAAATTTAACAGTTTAACTAAATACTAGTACGAAATCAAAAATACAACTCCACCCAGAACTAGTGTCACAATATCACGGACTGTCTAAGAATACTACAAACAGTGGTCTGAATAGGAAATACAAGCTGTCTCAGAAATAGATAAAAACAGAAAGAAATATGATAGAAGTGGACGCCAAGGCCTACGGATGCCTACAGGACTACCTCGGGTCTCCAGTGGACTGAAGGCAGCAACCTCGAACTACGGTCCGTAGGGTCCAGTACCGGGATCTGCACAAAAGAGTGCAGAGTGTAGTATTAGTACAACCGACCCCATGTACTGTTAAGTGTCGAGCCTAACCTCGGCGAAGTAGTGACAAGGCTAGGACACGACAACCATATAAACCTATGCAATTTAATCATATACGAGAAGCAATAATAACAAGAACTAAACAGAATAAGATAGAAAAAAGGGAAACATGCTGAGGGGTATATCAGATGATGACAATGATAAAGTAAAGCAACAAAGTAAATATCAAACTTGAAGCAACGGAAATAATAACACGGAAACAAGTGCATGGCATCACCCTTCGTGCTTTTACTCTCGTCCTCACCATAGATTCAACAGAAACGGTACGGCATTACCCTTCTTTCTTTTACTCTCTCATAATCATGGCACGGCAGCACCCTTAGTGCTTTTAATTTCAATAATATGGCACGACATTACCCTTCGTGCATTAACACTCACAATATCGGCACGATATCACCCTTCATGCATCAACACTCACAATATCGGCACGGCATCAGCCTTCGTGCATTAACACTCACAATATCGGCACGACATCACCCTTCGTAATTTACACACTTCCTTACACAAACAAATGCAATGATAACATCCTGGCAAGGGAATCAACAATAGAAACATCAAATAGAAATAATACCGTCCCGGCAAGGGAGTCAACAATAGAATCAATATCATCTCGGCAAGCGAATCAGCTATAACCAATCTAGTTTCAACATTTACTTCACAAAATAAACCTCAACTTGAACCGATACTCGACAATGGTCAATTACCCAAAATTTATCATAAGTCTTGTTCCACAGTGCTAATCATCAATTTAAGGCATGCACAATTCATACTAAAGTCACCACCATATTAATATAAGACCCACAGGCATGCTTGACATCAACGTATAAATACTCGTCACCTCACCTATACGTTGTACTCGACACTAACACATAGCAAATAAGACACAACACATATTCGCTCAAGCTAATGTTAGGCCAAACACTTACCGCGAATTCCACGGCCAAACTTAAGCCTCAAATACCGCTTTCCCTTTTGATTCCTCTTCCAATTCAATTGTATCTAGCCAATATTAACTTATTAACATTAATTGAAGCCAAAGAAACCGACCCAAATGAAAAATTACCGATTTCCCAACATTCTTCCAAAAAAGTCAAAACCCAACCCAGGCCCGCTTGGTCAAAACTCGAGGTTCGAACCAAAACCCATTCACCCATTCACCCACGAGCCCAAATATGTAATTAGTTTCGGAATCCGACCCCAAATCGAGGTCTAAATCCCCAAATTTGTAAAATTCACAATTCTCTTAAAATCCCTAATTTCTACCCTTAAAGAAAAAGATTTAGGCCTAGAAATCTAATGGGTGTTGATGAAAAGTGAAAGAAATGGGCTTAGGAACAAATACCAATGACTTGTTGTTGAAACGTTTCTTCAAAAATCGCCCAAGGTCGGATTTTAGCGAGAGAGATATGATATTTTGAAGAAATCCCGACCTAGGTTCTGTTTTTAATTCACTGGGCAGACCTTCTTCGCATTCCTAAAGGATCTGTCGCGTTCGCGAAGCTTGTGGCCAGAAGGGCCTACGCGTTCCTGATGAGCTTCTTGCGTTCGTGATGGTTTGTCCCCCTTGACCATCGCGTCCATGGGCCTTAGACCGAATTCGCGAATAATAACTCAAAGACTCCCCCCAGCCACCTCCATTGTACTACGCATTCGCGTGTGGCCGGTCGCGTTTGCGAAGAGCAATCCCTCCAGTGCTCCGCGTTTGTGTAGAAGGAATTCCTCCCCAGCCCAGCTTGTGCTTCGCTTTCGCGTGAGCTGTATCGTGATCGCGAAGAACAAAATATGAGTACGCCAGAAGCAGCAATACAACAGAAGCTCTTAAGTCCAAAACACCCGGAAACCTATCCGAAACTCACCTGAGCCCTCAGGGCTCCAAATCAAACATGCACACAACCCTAAAAACATCATAGAGACTTACTCGTGCAACCACATCGCCAAAGTAACACCTAAAACTACGAGTTTAGCATCAAAATCAAAGGAAAATCTCAAAAACTCTTAAAGTTTCAAATTTTACAACCGAGGGTCCGAAACACGTCATATGACCTCTGTTTCTTACCAAATTTTACAGGCACAACTGAAATACCATATTAAACCTGTACCGGGCTCTGGAACCAAAATACGGGCTCGATACTATCAAATTCAAAAATCGTTAAATTTCCAAAAACTCTTATAATTTCAGTTAAACAATTTCTTTCAAAAACTCATTTCTCGGGCTAGGGACCTCGGAATTCAATCCCGGGCATACGCCCAAGTCCCATATTTTTCTACGGACCCTCCGGGACTGTCATATCACGGGTTCGGGTCTGTTTACCCAAAATGTTGACCGAAGTCAACCTAAACTTAATTTTTAAGGTAAAATTAGCATTTATCTCACATTTTCACATATAGGCTTTTCGGATATACGCTTGGACTGTGCACATAAGTCGATGTGAGACAAAAGGAGGTCTTTAAGGCCTCAGAATGCAGATTTGACTTTTTAAAACAAGTGATGAGCTTTTGGATCATCACATTCTCCACCTCTAAAATAACCGTTCGTCCTCGAACGGACATAGAAATGTACCTGAGTCGAAGCAAAAGAGGGGATATCGGCTCCGCATATCGAACTCGGACTCCCAGGTAGCTGCCTTGGCAGGTTGACCTCTCCACTAAACATGAACCGAACGATAACTCTTCGATCTCGATTGACGAACCTGCCGGTCTAGAATAGCTACCGGCTCCTCCTCATAGGTCAAGTCCTTGTCCAACTGGACAGTGCTAAAATCTAACACGTGGGATGGATTACCGTGATACTTTCGAAGCATGGACACATGAAACACTGGATGCATAACTGATAAACTTGGTGGCGACGCAAGTCTGTAAGCTACCTCTTCCACTCTATCAAGAATCTCAAAAGGACCGAGGAATCTAGGGCTTAGCTTGCCCATCTTCCAAAATCTCATCACGCCCTTCATGGGAGACACTCGAAGCAACACTCGTTCTTCGACCATGAATGCCACATCTCGAACCTTACGGTCGGCATAACTTTTCTGCCTGGACTGAGCTGTATGAAGCCTATCCTGAATAACCTTAACCTTATCCAAGGCATCCTGAACTAAATCTGTACCCAACAGTCGAGCCTCTCCCGGCTCAAACAACCGGAGCAGTGACCGACACCGCCTAGCATATAATGCCTCATAGGGAGCCATCTGAATGCCCGACTGATAACTGTTGTTGTAGGCAAACTCTCATAATGGCAAGAACTGATCCCAAGAACCTCCAAAGTCAATAACACATGCTCGAAGCATATCCTCCAAAATCTAAATAGTACGCTCGGACTGTCCATCCATCTGAGGATGAAATGCGATGCTCAACTCAACCTGTGTACCCAACTCATGCCGCACTACCCTCCAGAAATGCGAGGTAAACTGCGTACCTCGATCAGAAATGATAGAGTA